GCGGCGGCGGCGGCGGCGGCGGCGGCGCGGCGGCGGCGGCGGGCGGCGGCGGCGCCTGCCGTCGGGGCCGCTGCTCCCGCCGCGGGGCCGCCCCCGCGTTCCCGCCGCGCGGGACCCCGCCGCCGCGCTGCCCCTCGCTCGCCCCCGCCCTTCTGCCCCCCATCTTTTCCCCTGCGTTCCCGTTCCCTCCCCCCTTCTTCCTCGCCTCCCTGCCTGTGCCCTCGCCGTCTTGCCCTCGGCGTCGTTACCTCCCCTGCCTGCCTGGCCCCCCTGCGCCCGCCCCGCCCTCGCTCGGTCCCCGCCCCCCTCGCTGCCTCGCAGCCCCGCCCTGGCCCGTCTGCCCAGCGCTTCTGCTTACTTTCGTGTCCCCTGTCTCGCCCCCTTTGCCGGGGGTTTGTTTTCGCGCCGGCCCATTTGGCCCCCCCTCCTCTCCCCCTCCGTATCAGAAAAATATCAACTATTGGTAATACCCACTTCCTTCCTTCTCCACATTTTTTACCATTACTTAAGGGGATCGTCCCTAAAAGGGGCGTGGCCAATTATGGGGGTGGGGGGGTCATATTGGTAAATATTTCTGAAAAATAAATGGTCTTATGGATTTTGTTGATTTTAGGATATTTGATATATTTTACTATTCTGCATATTTTGATACCAAATTTATGGGATTCCCACATGGGGGGCGATGGCCCCCGCAAAAAAACTTTTTTTTTTTTTTCCACGTATCTGCGCGGTTGATTCCTTGTCCCAGAGAATCATGTATTATGTCATGAAAAAAAATGTGAATGAACATCAATGAATTCCTAAAAGATCATGGAAGCCTTTTTTTGAAATTCGATTTAGTTTCCTAAGAAAAAAAAATTCAAAGAAAAATAATTTTTCACATTTTTTCGATTTTCAAAAATTTGTATAAAAAAAATATGCAAAATTTCAAAAATCTGATTTGATGATACACATTTTCACGAGATTTCCAAAGATATATCCAAAATTCTAATCGGATAAAAACTCTGGGGCAAGGAATCAACTGTAGCTCAAAAAAAATAAAAACAAAATAACAAACAAACAAAAAGTTGGATAATTGAAGTTCATTTTTCATATTCATTCATTTATGGATCTTTACCATTTCCTTACTGTAGAAACTACTATCATTTCTCTTTCAAATGCACTTCGTTAGGTAAAGATATGATCAAAAGTCTCTGAGTAATAGAAACAAACTAACAAATGACTTCCCTGAAAAGGGGCAAATCCAGACCCAAGACAATATGATCGTTATATAAAATCGGTTGTTTCGAGATTTATACCTCTTTCATTACTATTTTCTTGTTTATACATTCGTTTCCATGTGTATATGCATGTGAATTATTGTAAAGGTACATGTTCGTGCATGTGTATATGCGTATATGCGCATATACCCATTAAATCCATAATCATTTATTCTATTTATTTATTCTATTATTATTAGAGTCTATTTTTCTTCCCGCATTGTCTAGCCACGTGATTACACCTCGAAACAAGCGATAAACATTTAGTCGCAAGCAAAGTACTTGTTATGTAGGGACAATGAATTGTTTCTTGTTCATTAGAAATAACCATTCAGAAACCGTTGATAGATCAAAAAATTTTTGAAATACAAATCTCTTATATCAAATCTCTTATATTCGTTTATTCGTTTATCGTCTTCTGATGTAAGAGTAGGTATCAGATATTTGTAGGCCGATTTATACGAGTTACACGAAATTAATTTTCATACTTATCCTTTACATAGTTTTTTCCGTAAAATGTATTTATTTAACTGACATTATATGTTTAACCATATATGTGTGCTAGCTATCTCAAGAAGCACATTGTGCTATAATCGATCAAACTCATTGACTCGAGATGCAGAGCAGATGTACTAAGGCGAGCATGAGACGAAACATATAGCTACTGGCATACCAGATCAAACTAAGTGTCGAACAGGCGCATAACGAGACAGAGACTGAGGCGACACAGGACATATAAAATGTAATAATGATTGACTCTCATAATAGCAGCAGTGTGTTACTATTTGTGAGACGAGACAAGCGTACATGAGGGCTCGATACATCATGAGAGATTCACTCATTGAACTCTCTAGGAGTACATACACTTGTAGCCTGGAGATGATATCATAGTCAAAAGATCTGAGAATCGCTACTCTAATTTTGGCTCTCTACTGGGATGCAAGGAACAGCGGTACCCAGATGAGGCAGAGTGGCGCTGCTATAGGTATCTATCTTTAGATTCTTAAGATGGGTTTTGTATTTCTCAGTAGTCAGATAGACATGGCTTTCAATAGCTATCGTCACGCAATAGAGTAAATCTGTTATAATAAGACTACTTTGTTGACTCTCCATGGTGAACTCACAATATATACAAGAAGTAGGTAGACTATCAATATATCATCTATGCATGACTAGAGTATAGACGCTCTACTCAGGCCAGACGAGAGCATTGACGTGTAGGGTGACAATCGACTGTATAATAGCGGAGCTGGAGACTGACTAGTAGATGTGTCTAGCTCTCATGACGTAATGCTGGCCTGGATATTAATCATCTCCGTAGGAAGTCAGAACATCTCACAAATGTGAACGGATAATAAATCGTACTCTCTTGCATTTACGATATAGTGTGAGCACACTCTGCACAGAACTTACACGAATTGATTTCAAGAGTTAAATCCAATCCACCACCAGAGAGACGGGTCTCAACATGTAAGGGTAGTGATGCATGTCTTACATGATACGTGTAGAACAACAGTCGCCTGAGAATTATGAATACCATGATCTCTCAGAGAACGAGATTTTTAATACTATATCTATATTCCTTCAAGCATATATAGTAACTAGTGTCGGCAGCTATCCAATTTGGTATCAATAAGTCTTTAAACACAACTACGAGCATGTCATCTAGAGATCACACACAAGCTTTTGGAGCAAAGTACTTTCTATAAATGTTGTAGTAACGGTATCAGCTATATCCGAATTATGTGGACCAAATGTGTGTGCATAGAGATGGTTA